TCTCTGAGTTATGGAGCTTCTACCTAGTCCACATTTAACTTGACATTTCCAGAAACATTAGGGCTAGAAATGGAAGGCTGTTGATATATCTTGTCTACAGATCCTACTGAATTTTTTCTTGGTAGGGAAAGAAACTCTTTCCCCTATACTAATCATACTCCTCTGCTTTAGGTGCTATGGGCATAAACAATAGAGGTGCCATGCCCCCTGCTCCTGTGCCAACTGGGACCCCAGCTCCTCCAGGACCTGCCACTATGATGCCAGATGGAACTTTGGGATTGGTAATAAACTACAGGGCTTCATAATAATTGTAAATAGTGATAGGAGCTTCTCAACCTATGGAGTCTAAATTTTATGGATATGGGGGTGTGTGTGTGTGCACATGTGTGTACATGTAAGTGTGAATTGTGTGTTGTTCCTCGGGGTTCATCTGTGATTGAAACTTGCCATTAGGCTAGCTTGACTGGTCTTGAACATTGGATGCTGGGGAATTAAACTTGAACTCTCAAGCTTGCAGGACAGGTACTTTACCCAACTAAGCTATCTGCCCAGCATCTACTACCTGAGTTTACTTTGTTTTTTTGTTACAGGTACTGATTTTTAGGATTATTGGTATACATAAAATATAACCTTAAGATGTTTAGGGGATGGTAAGGATAATTAAACCTAGGATCTGATTGATAGATGTTAGGCAACAGTTGTCTTACTATTCCGTGTCCTTGGTATTTTATTTGTAATCTTGTCTAAATTCAATACCATATGCTATTTTAACATTGGAGTTTAAACAATGGCCTTTATCTGACTATCTGCCTGTAATCATTGTCCTCAGTAAACAAATTGCTTTTTGTTTTGTTGATTTTGGAGTTTTTGAGATAGGGTCTAGTTCTGGCTGCCCTGGAGCTTTCTATGTAGACTAGGCTGGCATCAGACTCACAGAGATGCTCCTGCCTCTGTCTTCCAAATGCATGCATCACATTGCCTGGCCGGTAGGTTGCTCTTAGGGGGCAAGTCAAGAAAGCTTAGATATAATGAATGACATATAATGAATGTTAATTCAAGGGCCTTGTGGTTCATAAAGTCGAAGTTGTTCAAATGTCAAAATGGCCAAAACTGGATAGAATTAAGGTTTCTAGAGAAATGATAACCTGTTCTTCCTGGTTTGGAAAAAGGACTTGGATAGAACCTATCCAAATAGACATTTCAGTTGTATATAAAATATGGATAAAAAGCTAAAGAAGTACAGCCTTCTGTTCCTTTCAGGTCCATGAGAACTCTAAGCAGACTTAGTTACCTTGCCCCTAGCAATCAGGAGTCTTGAATAGTTAAGTAGAAATGGTTTACAATGCAAGACCATAAATGAGCGAGACGCTGAGGACAGAGACTGTATTTAAAATTGTTTGTTCTCTTTCTCTTTTAAGACCCCACCAACAACTGAACGTTTCGGCCAAGCTGCTACAATGGAAGGAATTGGAGCAATTGGTGGAAATCCTCCTGCTTTCAACCGTCCAGCTCCTGGAGCTGAATTTGCTCCAAATAAACGCCGCCGATACTAAATAAAAGTTGCAGCGTCTAGTTTCCCGCAACCCTTAAAAGAAAGGTTCTTTTTGGACTAGCCAGAATTCTACCCTGGAAAAGTGTTAGGGGTTTTTCCCAATAGATAGGTCTTCCCTGCCTGTAATACTCTAGGGAGTATGCTTGGAGGCAGAGGGCAAGGGAGGGGTGTTATTTAACAAATCAAAGTCTGTGGTATATTGCTTTCTCAAGTCTGTCTGGTGCATTCCTGAAATGTGTTGATTATTGAGGGCCTTGAACCATAGCAAAGTGAACGTAGAGCGCTCCATTAATCTTGATCATTCCTGTTTCCTTCTTTCCTTCCTTGCTTTCTTCATCCCTCCCTCCTTCATTCATCATGTTTTAATTACTTTTTCATCTTTATTCCCCCAACCCCAGAGACACTGCCACATATATACCACAAAACCTAAACATCCTCCAATGACCTAGCCCAATTCCTCCATTCACTCCCAGGTGAGAATTCAGACAAATGTCCGCAGAGGTTACAACATACATACGGTTCTGTTATATCTCATATATAACCCCTTCATGTCCTAAGGAAGACATTTTCTCTTAGAGGTTTTCATTTTAGTATATCTTTAAAAAAAGAAAAAGTCTTGTGTAAACTTGCCTCCATGTTTCTCTTGGGTAAGGACTGCTCAAGACTGAATGCCCTTTTCTGTCTGATATTGCTGTTCACAGCTTTTCTTGATAGGCCTAGTACAATCTTGGGAACAGGGTTGCTGTGTGTTGAAGGTCTGACAGTAGCTCTTAGCCTTGCCTATCTTAGGTAGTTACGCTGTGCATTTTTTATTGGTGTACTATGTTTGATTTGTTCCTGATACCTTCAATTTGAAATTTTTCTGAGAAATGGAGCAGTAATGCAGCATCACCTTATTAAAATACATCTGAAGCCTTTTAATTTTCTGTGCTGTTTTTTGAAGGGGAAGGGAAGGAATTCTGTCTTGGGAAATGCATACAGTAGACTGCACTGTCACCTTTTGAAATACTAAACATTAGGCAAACATGGGCAGGGGAGGGTGAGATGCAAGATAGAGTGGCTAGGATCAATGCTGGGTAATGGTAGTAGCAGACAAGCGACTCCAAATGGCAGAAAATGGAGGGGTTGTATCCATACCACAGGGAGGGAGGATCTTAATTAGTATTTTGTTTCTTAGCAGCTGCTGGTATGTCAGAGGCTTGGAATTGGCAACATCTAAAACTGCTATAGTTACTGACCTCACCCAAGTTCCAAGGGCTCTTCCTGAGCCTCAGAGCTAAAATACTCTGGAGCACTTTCCTATTGGCTGGGAAGACCAACTGAAGTTCCCTTGCCCATGTTTGGAGGTGGACGCCTCCTGAACTAAAGATAGAAACAGCTGGCCCTTCTAGGCAGCTAAAAGCCTTCAGACTTAAGAGGTGTTCCCCACTCTGCGGCCAGACTCCTTGAAATACCCTTTGAGTAAGCTCAACCAGCGCTTCCATGTCTCTGCTCTGCCATAACAAAGGCTGTGGGCAACACTTTGACCCTAATATCAATCTCCCTGGTGAGTAAATATGGACCTTGGGCTCTGAGTAGGTGTTAGTTGTTCAGCTGTGGGCTGGCTATTGGGAACAGGAAGAACAAAAATTGGGCATGATTTGGGTGATCTTCAGTCTGCTGCTTTACTTTCCACATTGTATGAAGAACCATTAACGAACCTGAAGAAAATAGGAGGGATGCTATTTGACATAGTTCTTTCCTGCTTTCTGGTATCTACAGATTCCTGTCACTATCACCCTGGGGTCCCAATCTTCCATGATGCACTTAAGGTGAGGAATAGGTGATGGGGGCCTAGCAGGAGCATTTTCCCCAAGGAAATATACCCAGGAAATCTAAGCTGATCAGGGTCTCTTGTTGTCAGGGTTGGTCCTGCTGCCGAAAGCGAACTGTAGATTTCTCTGAGTTCTTAAATATCAAGGTAAAGCCTTTACTTCCTTGGATTCTAGTTCCTATGAAAGAACTCTTCTAATCCTTATCTCCTTATCTACTAGGGCTGTACTGTGGGACCACACTGTGCTGAGAAGCTTCCTGAGGGCCCTCAGCCTGAGGGCCCTGCCACGAGTTCGCTTCAGGAGCAAAAACCTCTGAATACAATTCCAAAGTCAGCAGAGACCTTGCTCCGAGAAAGGCCTAAGTAAAGACCCAAGGCTTTTTTCTCTACCGATGCAGGGATTAATGGCTCACTGGGGATTGGAAGCAAGGGGTTAGAGATGTGAGGAGGGTCGTGTGTTGACAGCTTGCATGATGCATCTTTTGTCATAGGGGAAATTTGTGTCAAGAAATGTCTGTTGCTATAAGATGGTGTAAGGATGATGGATTATTCTAGGGACTAGGTAACTTCTCAAATACATGGTATATAGCAAGAGTAGCGACTAGATAACCTGTGCTTTGATTTTGTTGAGCTAGGCTGTGAGGCCCAGTCTTGAAATTGATCCTCTTAACTTCCTGAAGGCCGACATTTTTACAGGTGTACACAACCACACCTGCTTGAAAATGAAGTGATATTTTTGTTGTGCATTTTCAGTTTTTAATAATTTTTAGTTAGTATAGAAAGGAATGGGTTTCATCAAGTTTTCATATATGTATCATTGTACCTTGCTCATGCATATCCCCCCAATACACCTCTATTAATCTCTTTGGTTTTGGAAGAACTTAATCTTACATGTTTTGTTGGCTCATTCCTGTACTCCCAATACTTAAAATGCTCGATCAGCAAGATTGCTCTGGATATTGGACTGGCCTGGGATACAGAAAATAAAAAGTAAATCTTAAATTGCTGCACATGTTGCTCTGTGTCCATAGATTGCAAAGCTTAGGCAGAGGTGACGGGATCACCAAAGGTCTGAGGCTAGTCCATTCTGTACAGTGAATTACAGGTCAGTTATGGTTACCGAGGGACATCTTGTCTCAAAACAAGAAAAGGAGCCATTAGTATGGCTCAACAAGTAAAGGTGATTCCTCCATAATACTAGCTGGGTTTGGTCCCGGAAGTCTACATAAAGATGCAAACCAAGAAGTAATACTACTAAGTTGTCCTCTGACCTCCACACGTGTGCTATAGTGTACAGTCCCGACACTATGCTAGTAATAATAAACAAAAATTCATAAAAGCTCAATATTTGAATTTCTTTTGAAACAAGGTAACCCTGTCATTTTTATTTATATGTGTGTGTGGCTACAGTGATTGTGGCTGCCTGGTGTAGGTGCTGGAGACTTAATCTCAGGTCTTCTGCAGGAATAGTAAGGTTCCCCCTCTTTAGGTTGCATATTCTCTCCAGCCCCTTAAAAAGCTACATCTTCCCGGGCAGTGGTGGTGCACGCCTTTAATCCCAGCACTTGGGAAGCAGAGGCAGGCGGATCCCTGTGAGTTCGAGACCAGCCTGGTCTACAAGAGCTAGTTCCAGGACAGGCTCCAAAACCACAGAGAAACCCTGTCTTGAAAAAAAAAAAGCTACATCTTGCAGGTGTGGTGGTGCATGCCTTTAATCCCAGCACTCAGGCGGGTGGATCTCTTGAGTTCCAGGTCAGCCTGGTCTACAGAATGAGTTCCAGAACAGCTAGGGCTACACAGAGAAACCTCTCAAAAAAAAAAAAAAACCCCAAAAGGCTACTTTACATCATAGGGTATTAGTAGGATTAGGAAGGCAGGAGGTTGCAGAGAATATTATAAGCAAGAAGCATTAGGTTCACATCAAATAGAGGAAGTGATGTAGTTCTGCAGAGAAATGTGGGAAGAGTAGAAGCAACCAACTGCAAAGGAAGCCCTGAGCCTTCTCCAGGGCTATGGATTTGAATGTCCACAGAGGTGAAAATTGCCACTAGAGTTGTCCCCTGATTTCTCTGACCCTGATATACTTTCACCAGACTGACTTGATTCTAACAGTGTGGGTAGGGGTGCTAGGTTATTCTGATGAATGGATCAGATCTAAATGCCTGCTTATAACCTATAGGGCAGAGATGCCTCCAAAACTGCTGCCACTTATTATATCTCAAGCCCTGGGAGTGGCATTGGAACAGAAGGAACTAGACCAGGAACCTGGAGCAGGTAGGTGGGCCTTTAATAGGCCAAATCTCAAAGACTGGAATTTCATGTAAACGGCAGTAGGGTGGGGCAAATAGAAAAGTTCCTGACTGTTTCCTTTGCCCAGGACTTGACAGTAGTCTGATCTGGACTGGTTCCAGCTGCCAGAACCCAGGATGTGATGCTGTGAGTGAGAGTTTTGGGGGGGGGGGGGGGGGGGGGGGGGGGGGGGGGGGGGGGGGGGGGGGGGGGGGGGGGGGGGGGGGGGGGGGCGGGACTCAAGCATGTGGCTGTGTGATACCTGGGGATAGGCATGATTTTTAATGACCTGTTTCTCCTTTGGCCTTAGTTTTACCAAGGTCCTGAGAGTGACTCTGCTCCATGTACCTACCACCCAGGGGCACCTCGGTTTCATGAGGGGTAAGAGAAAGTACTGGGTAGGTTTCTTCCAATATAAATGAGAGTAAGGGCTTGGAGTGGAATTCATATAAATGATCTTCCTCCCTCAGGATGAAGTCTTGGAGCTGTTGTGGTATCCAGACTCTGGATTTTGGGGCATTCCTGGCACAACCAGGATGCAGAGTTGGTAGACATGACTGGGCAAAGCAGGTAAGCCCCCCCCCCCCCAACTTCTTAAACAGTTGGTTAGGCCCCAGTTACAGAGATAAGCTCTCCTCATATCTCCTGGCTGACCTCCCTAAAATTTTCCTTTAATACAAGTCAAATAAAATTCTGTTTTTTATCTCTCTATAGCCCGGAGTCTTGGCTATATGAAATAGTTAATCTTTTTGATTTTTTTTGTGTCTTTATTTCCCATGAGACTCCTCCTGGTTTAAGAGTTGAATTTTCCCATCTTCTTTTCACATCTCTTTAGCTGCCAGCTTCTTGCCGCCATGATTGGCACCAAACAGATTCCTTGGTAGTGCTGACTGTATATGGCCAGATTCCACTTCCTGCATTTAACTGGGTGAAAGCCAGTCAAACTGAGGTGAGCAATGATCTGGGGCAGGATGGGGGCGAGTAAACTCCGGTGGTCGTACAGTCTTACGGGGACACATGCTGCCACTCTTTTTTATTTGTTTTGGTTTTTCAAGGCAGCATTTTTCTGTGTAGCCCTGGCTGTCCTGGGATGCACTCTTGTAGACCCGGCTGGTCTCGAACTCACAGAGATCAGTCTGCCTCTGCCTCCCGAGTGCTGGGATTAAAGGCGTGCGCCACCACCGCCCATCGTATGCTGTCACTCTTTAGGTTCCAGTGTCCCCCAAGAGGAATGGAAAGTTATTACAGTAGGGTTGGCTGGCAGGCCTGTGAATCTTGCCTCTTTCCTGGTTCTGAAGTAATGACTTTTTCTGACCTTCTGGATTTGATACTACCCTTCTAATTCTTTTCTCTCAGCTTCATGTCCACATTGCCTTTGACGGTAACCGAGTGTTCCAAGCCCAAATGAAGCTCTGGGGGGTAAGTGTAGAGAAGTAGGCAGAGGCATGGGGGGGGGGGTAGACAGGTAAGAGGAGGGCCAGACTGAGTCGGTAGAGGGTAAGCTGTGGGGAATAGATCATTTTTCTTTAACTGCTTTGGTTTTCCCTCCTTTGTCTCCTCTTCCTTCTGTTCTTCCCCATTGTGTTCTTCTGTCTTCCCCTTTCTTTTTCTTTTCTGTTCTTATTTATCAATACTCTAAGCCCAAGTCTGTGATTTCTTCATTCTTTCTGTCTCTCCCTCCTTCTTAGGTCATAAACGTGGAGCAAAGTTCTGTCTCCTTGATGCCATCACGGGTGGAAATCTCCCTGGTCAAGGCTGACCCAGGATCCTGGGCCCAGCTGGAGCACCCCGATTCACTAGCTGAGAAGGCGAGGGCAGGGGTGTTGTTAGAGATGGATGAGGAAGAATCTGAGGATTCAGATGATGACCTGAGCTGGACAGAGGAGGAGGAAGAAGAGGAAGAAGCTATGGGAGAATAGTAACAGCAGCCAGTTGAGTTTCTAGGTAGGCTCTCGGTGACCTCAGAGACTAGGATATGGTTGACTGTGTGGTGTCACTGAGCAGCAGGAGGCTGGAGGAGGAGAGAACAAACTGTGCTGCTACTCCCCTAAATAAACCTTATATTCTGCAGTTTCACATAAGCGTCATCTCTCACCTCATCATGGAAGAGTGGATTCAGTCCCACCCCGCCCCCACTTGGCTGTGTGTTTGGCACACATGTGAAAACAACAGCCACCAGGAGTGTATGAGCACTTCCTGGATGTCCAGTTCCATGTTAGATGGTTTACAGAAAGCTGAGAATCAGCCTCACTCATTTCTCTCAAGAGAAAGACCTGAGCTGGGCATGGTGGTGCATACCTATAATCCTACCACTTAGGGTCAGGAGTCCTTGGTCATCCTCACCTACATACTGAATTGGAAGCTAGCCTGGGCTACATGAAACCTTGTCCCCTACAACTTTCCCTCTGAATAAAAGGTACAAACAGGAAAAAAAAAAAAAAGAAATGACATTCTAAGCTGGGTCTGATGGCTCCTACACCTCGAATCCCAGCACTGGTAAAGCTGAATTAGAATGATTGCCATGATTTTAAGGCCAGCCTGGTCTAGTTTGAGCTAAAAAGTAAAAAAGCTAGTTGTAGTGGTTTGTTCCTACAATTCTAGTAAGCAGGAGGCTGAAGCAGGAGGATTGTAGTATAAGATCAACCTAGGCTATGTAGAAAGTCCAGATACCTGGATGACATTCTTGGTGACCCTGGTGCTTTTGCTATTGATTACTACATATCAGATTGTATGTGCAAAGAGAAGACACAAAAGTTAGTAGGGTGTGGCTAGATTGAAAAAAATCCTAAAATTATAGGTCATTATTTTTATAGTCTTGCTATATGACCCAGAATCTTCTTGCCTCAGCCTGTTCACTGCTGTAATTACAGGTGCAAGTCCCCATACTTAGACAAAATACTTAGTGTGGGGTATTTTTGTTCGTAGTACTAGGGATACTCTAACCCAAGACCTACCACATGCTGTGCAGACATTCTACCACTAAGACACAGCTCCTGCTAAAGGGAACTTAAAAGACAATATGGGGGCTTGAGAGATGTCTCAATGGCTCACAGTTTATACTGCTTTTCTAGAGGAGCTGAGCCTGATTCCTATTGACCACATCATGTGTCTCCCTACCACCTGTAACTCCAGATCCAGGGGATCCAATCAACTCCTGTGGCCTCTGGGCACCTTCACTCACATACACATACCCACACACAAACACACACATTATTTTTGGGGGGTTCTTCGAGGCAGGGTTTCTCTGTTTAACAGTCCTGGCTGTCCTGGAACTCGCTTTGTAGACCAGGCTGGCCTCAAACTCACAGAAATCCGCCTGCCTCTGCCTCCCTAGTGCTGGGATTAAAGTATTCTGTCTGTGTGTTTGCCTGCAGGCCAGAAGAGGGCACCAGACCTCATTACAGATGGTTGTGAGCCACCATGTGGATGCTGGGAGTTGAACTCAGGACCTTTGGAAGAGCAGGCAATGCTCTTAACCGCTGAGCCATCTCTCCAGCCCGCCACATGGCATTTTTAAACTCTTAAAAACAACTACACAACTGAGTGGTGGAAAAAAATTACAAAAAAATCCTCAAAAGTAAATAAAAGACATTATGGTTAGCTCACTGTGTCTGCAGATTTTGTGTTCATGGATGGATTCAATGATTGTGAGTTGAAGATATAAAGAAAAATTTGCACTAAATGGTTATAGATTTTCTTAAATAATAGTGTAGTAATCACTTACAAAGCATTTATTTAGTACTATAATCTAGAGGTAGATAGTTATAGGAGAATATGTGTATGTTATATGCAAATACTATGCCTTTTCTTCAGAGACAGGGTTTCTCTGAGTAGCCCTGGATGTCTTGGAACTCACTCTAGACCAGGCTGGCCTAGAACTCAGAGATCTACCTGACTCTGCCTCCTAAATGCTAAGATTAAAAGCATGTGCCACCACCGCTTAGCTATAATGTCTTTTCATATAAAGAATTTAAGTATCTTCCAAGCTTGGTGCAAGCAGGAGGTTCCTGGATGGACCTCCCTCCTGCTGATATTACACAGAATGACTGCATAGACCTTTCTATTATTTTCATTTTATTGTTGTTATTTTTTGTTTTGTGCTTGTGTTTTGTGATACTGTTGCCCAGGATGCTTTGGAACTCATTAGATATAGCTCAGGTTGGCCTCAAACTTGGAACAATCCTCCTACCTAGCTTTCTCAATATTGGGACAACAGGAATAGGCTACCATACCCAGCTGAAATGTAGACTTGTTTATTTTTAGTCTCCCTCAGCAGAATCATCAATAATCTGAGAAAATCAAATTCTAAGAAACAGTACTAGAAAGATGGCTCAGGGGGTAAAGACAGTTGCTACACACAGCTCGTGGCTTTCAGTCCCTGGAATCCATGATAGAGAACCAATTCATGAAAGTTGTTCTCTGATTGCCACACATGTGCTATTGCATGTGGGTGCCCACACTTACACACATGGTGTGACACACAATAGTAATAAATTTCCAAGAAATACCCAGCAAGGAAGCTCTTCAAACCTCAGCCAATCTCAAGTTCTTTATTTCTCTTAAGTCCACTGCCCATCCTCTCTCTTTCCTCCATCTGTCTCCCCCTCCCTGTCTTCCTTCTTTCTTTAGGGTATCATGTAGCCCTGGCTGACCTGGAACCCAATATGTGGACCAGGTGAGCCTTGAACTTGTAGAGATACTCCTGCCAGCACACCCACATCAAGCTCTTCATTTGGTGTCTTTTTGGATCAGATTGAAGATAACTAGTATGTGATTGGGATCCAGGAGTGAAATGAACTGGAACAAATGTGGACAGTAGTGTACATGAGGATTTGGAGGCTGAGGGAACATTAGGCAATGGCAGGGAATATCTCCGAGGATGTGAGTTCCACCCACAGGGGAGTTTGATCAGAGGTAAAGAGACTTCCTGGCTATATAGGATACATAATATCTCACTGCTCTCATTCACCAAGTCTCACTGCTCTCATTCTGGATTCGTGGGGCAAATAAATTTTCTCCTTTGGACTAAAGCCTCAAGAGTCCTGCTTTCTTTCTTCTCCCCTTACACCCTCCCTCTCTCCCCCTTCTTTCCTTCTTTTTCTTGGACAGGTTTTCAGCTCCACTGAACTGACACTGAAATTGAAAATATGAACTAAATCAGAGGTCCACTGCCTCCTGAGTGCTGGGATTCAAAAGGTTTGTGCCACTATCTTCAGTCAAGAATGCTCTCCAAACTTGGAAGCAGTTTACTCTTTACTCTTTATTCCATTCGTTTCTTTAAATGTATATGGCACCACACACCTTTAATCCTAGAATTAGGAGGTAGAGGCAGGGGAATCTCTTGAGTTGGAGGCCAGCCTGGTCTATAGAGCAAGTTCTAAGCCAACGAGAGCTACATAGTAAGACCCTATCTCAAAAAAAAAAAAAAAACTAAAAAAATTTATTATATTTTAATTTATTTTTATAGACATGCACAGGGTGGAGTGGTATATATGGTATGCAGTTTGGAGGAAAACTTGTGCCAATCAGTTCTCTCCTTCTACCATGTAGATTGCAGGCATTGAAGTCCATTGTCAGGCTTGGGAGCTAGTGCCTTTACCCTCTGAGAAGTTAGCACTGTCAGCCGGGCATGGCAGCACAGGAGGCTGAGGCAGGAGGATCAATATGAATTCAGTATTAGTATAGGCAAGAACCTATCTCAAAATCAAAAACAAAGTTAGAGGTAAAACAGTCAGGTATGGGCTAGATGTGGTATCTTACGCCTTTAATTCCTAGAGGCAGAAGCAGACAGATCTCTGAGTACAAGGCCAGCCTGGTCTACATAGAGAGTTACAGGACAGCCAGGAACCCTACCTCAAAAATCAGAAGAAAACAATGATTCCCCCCAAGCCAGGTATGGTAGTGCATTCCTATCTGTAATCTCAGTACTTGGGTGTTGTGGCAAGGGGATCATGAGTTCATGGCCAAACTGAAGTACGTGGCAACTTTGAGGCCACCCTGGGGTATGTAAAAAGTTCAAGGCTAGTGTTGGTTTCATAGGGAGACTTTCAAATTTTGAGGTAAAATGACTAGAGAAAGATACATAATATGCATTTATCTTAACTGTAACTTTTTCTGTCTATCAAAATCAGGATAACAGCAATTGTCCCGAAATCCTGAAGAGAAAGAAGGTAAGGGTTCAAAAAATTCAGATAATTCTTATATATAAGGTTTATATATAAAATGCCAAATGTTCAGTGTTAACAAAGTATGGTACTAGTTCATTTTATAAAGCCAAAGTCTAAAATATAAGAAATTTCCAATATGATCTGTATATCCAATATGTGATCTGTATAGTGGCAGTAGTTAAATAACTACTGTGTGTGTGTGTGTGTACATGTGCATACGCATGCTGTGTGAGCGTGTGTGTGGAGCCAGAGGTCAATATCTTCCTCAATTGTTTTCCACCTTAATTTTTAAAGACATTCTCTCACTGAACCTATAGTTCATTAGTCATTTGGCTAGTCTGACTGGCCAGTGAACTTCGGAGATCCCCTTCTCTCTGCCTTTCTAGTGCTGGGATGGCTTTTGATTATTCTTTTGAGACAAAGTCTGAATGTCCAGAATTTGCAAAGTAGACCAGGCTGGCCTTGAACTCACAGAGATCCCTCTGCCTCAGCCTCCCAAGCATTGGGGTTAAACACATGCACCACCATGCCCAGCTTTTTTTTTAATTAAATTTATTTATTTATTAAAGATTTCTGCCTCCTCCTCGCCACTGCCTCCCATTTCCCTCCCCCTCCCCCGATCAAGTCCCCCTCCTCATCAGCCCAAAGAGCAATCAGGGTTCCCTGACCTGTGGGAAGTCCGAGGACCACCCACCTCAATCTAGGTCTAGTAA